AGGCGGCTAGCTCTAGGAAGAGTCTTGATGGTTCCAAACTTCTTCCATTTAAGAATGTTGGAGGCCACTGTGTTCTTGGGGAACTTCAATGCTGCAGATATTTTTTGGTACTTTTCCCCAGATCTGTGCCTCGACACAATCATGTCTCGGAGCTCTATGGACAATTCCTCCGACCTCATGGCTTGGTTTTTGCTCTGACATGCACTGTCAACTGTGGGACCTTATATAGACAGTTGTGTGCCTTTCCAAATCATGTCCAATCAATTGAATGTACCACAGGCGGACTCCAATCAAGTTGTAGGAACATCTCAAGGATGATCAATGGAAACAGGATGCACCTGAGCTCCATTTCGAGTTTCATAGCAAAGGGTCTGAATATTTATGTAAATAAGGTATTTTATTATTTTATAAATTTGCAAAAATGTCTAAAAACCTGTTTTCTCTTTGTCATTATGGGGTATTGTGTGTAGATTGATGAGGAAAAACATGTATTTAATCAATTTTAGAATGAGGCTGTAACGTAACAAAATGTGGAAAAAGTCAAGGGGTCTGAATACTTTCCGAATGCACTGTAGTATTGTTTTCTTTGGCAACTGTGGTATAAGCAGGATAAACAGCTTAAACAAACGCAAGGACGTAAACTTTGCTGTTATTCTGGCTGCAGAGGTAGTGACTGTGTAGACGTAGCTAGTTGGCTAGCTAGCAGCAAGCAAGGGATAAGAACGTTGCCACTGACCCAGTTGTTTGTTCTTTATGTTCCGTTGCCATGCTCAGTGGCAACGTTCTTATCTCTTGCTTGCTGCTAGCTACGTCTACATAGTCACGACCTCTGCAGCCAGAACAACAACAAAGGTTATTCAGTTGCGTTTGTTTAAGCTTTTGATCCCACTTATACTACAGTTGCCAAAGAAAACAATACTATAAGCACACATTTACCGGTAGGAATAAAATGTTTTAGTTTATATTTTCATTTATATAAGCAAATTCATACTTTCTCATCTTTTGGTAGCTAGCTAGAAAAGCAACCCAGTCGTTCGTTCTTTATGTTCAGTTGCCATGCTCGCTGGCAACATTCTTATCCCTTGCTTGCTAGCTAGCCAGCTAGCTACGGCTAACACAGTCACGACCTCTGCAGCCAGAATAACAGCAAAGTAGCTGTTTTCTATTGACATTCATTTGGTACATCAATAACAAAGAGCTGATAATGCCCGATTCTGCCTGGCAAAGCAAGAAAAATGTGCCTTCTTGTCAGGACACTCGACACTGTTCATTACAAGGAGATCTCATGGCATATCAAACACTAGGCTAGAAGCTAGCTAAATAGTTTGTTGCTAGCAAACCTGCCAATATGACAACCAAATTAAAAAAATATCAGTTGCTGAAAACAGCTGGTCAAACTAGAAACGTGGGAGTTTTTGACAGCATAGCGCCACTTGCGTCATGACTATAAAGGACCAGGATTCATGTTCATCACTCAACACGTTAGTGTTTCTGTATGATATAACAGTTAGGTCATCAGATGCTCCAAAAAGATATGTCTCTGCAAAAACAAATCAATGCTAGCTAGCTAGCTACGTTTTTTCCTCGTTGGACCAGCGTTTACATTGTATCCAATTTCATGTTTGTGTGGTTGTTGGTTTAGAGTTCTATAACTTTGTAGCAAGTACGGTCTGCATGTGTAGGCGCCTATTGCGTTATGATTGCAAATTGTCCCGATATCTTTTCCAACTGTTCCGTTATCGGGTTTCAATGTCCATTCTTGAATGCTCTTCTAACCAATCAGAAACTTGTATTCATCAACGCTGTGGTATAAATATATACTGTACCAGTCAAAGGTTTGGACACACCTACTCATTCCAGGGTTTTTCTTTACTATTTTCTACATTGTAGAATAATAGAAGACATCAAAACGATGAAATAACACATATGGAATCATGTAGTAACCAATAAAGTGTTAAACAAATGAAAATATATGTTGTATTTGAGATTTTTCAAAGTAGCCACCCTTTGCCTTGATGTCACCTGGAATGCATTTCAATTAACAGGTATGCCTTGTTAAAAGTTAATTTGTGGAATTTCTTTCCTTCTTAATGCGTTTGAGCCAATCATTTGTGTTGTGACAAGGTAGGGGTGGTATATAGAAGATAGCCCTATTTGGTAAAAGACCAAGTCCATACAGTGGCTTGCGAAAGTATTCACCCCCCTTGGCATTTTTCCTATTTTGTTGCCTTACAACCTGGAATTAAAATAGATTTTTGGGGGGTTTGTATCATTTGATTTACACAACATGCCTACCACTTTGAAGATGCAAAATATTTTTTTCTTGTGTAACAAGCAAGACATAAGACCAAAAAAACAGAAAGCTTGAGTGTGCATAATTATTCCTTCAATTCTGACCAGTTTCCCAGTCCCTGCCGATGAAAAACATCCCCACAGCATGATGCTGCCACCACCATACTTCACTGTGGGGATGGTGTTCTCGGGGTGATGAGAGGTGTTGGGTTTGCGCCAGACATAGCGTTTTCCTTGATGACAAAAAGCTCAATTTTAGTCTCATCTGACCAGAGTACCTTCTTCCATATTTTTGGGGAGTCTCCCACATGCCTTTTGGCGAACACCAAACGTGTTTGCTAAGTTTTTTCTTTAAGCAATGGCTTTTTCTGGCCACTCATCCGTAAAGCCCAGCTCTGTGGAGTGTACTGCTAAAAAGTGGTCCTATGGGCAGATACTCCAATCTCCGCTGTGGAGCTTTGCAGCTCCTTCAGGGTTATCTTTGGTCTCTTTGTTGTCTCTCTGATTAACTCCCTCCTTGCCTGGTCCATATGTTTTGGTGGGCGGCCCTCTCTTGGCAGGTATGTTGTGGTGCCATATTCTTTCCATTTTATAATAATGGATTTAATGGTGCTCCGTGGGATGTTCAAAGTTTGGGATATTTTTTTTATAACCCAATCATGATCTGTACTTCTCCACAACTTGGTCCCTGACCAGTTTGGAGAGCTCCTTTGGTCTTCATGGTGCCGCTTGCTTGGTGGTGCCCCTTGCTTAGTGGTGTTGCAGACTCTGGGGCCTTTCAGAACAGGTGTATATATACTGAGATCATGTGACATATTATGTGACACTTAGATTGCACACAGGTCGATTTCATTTAACTAATTTTGTGACTTCTGAAGGTAATTGGTTGCACCAGATCTTATTTAGGGGCTTCATAGCAAAGGGGGTGAATACATATGCACGCACCACTTTACTTTATTTATTTTGTAGAATTTCTTGAAACAAGTTATTCTTTTCATTTCACTTCACCAATTTGGACTATTTTGTGTATGTCCATTACATGAAATACAAATAAAAATCCATTTAAATTACAGGTTGTAATGCAACAAAATAGGAAAAACACCAAGGGGAGTGAATACTTTTGCAAGGCACTGTATTATGGCAAGAACAGCTCAAATAAGCAAAGAGAAATGACAGTCCATCATTACTTTAAGACATGAAGGTCAATCAATCCGGAAAATATCAAGAACTTTGAAAGCTTCTTCAAACGCAGTCACAAAAACCATCAAGCGCTATGATGAAACTGGCTCTCATGAGGACAGCCACAGGAAAGGAAGACCCAGAGTTACCTCTGCTGCAGAGGATAAGTTCATTAGAGTTAACTGCACCTCAGATTGCAGCCCAAATAAATTCTTCACAGAGTTCAAGTAACAGACATCTTAACATCAACTGTTCAGAGGAGACAGCATGAATCAGGCCTTCATGGTCGAATTGCTGCAAAGAAACCACTACTAAAGGACACCAATAATAAGAAGAGACTTGTTTGGGCCAAGAAACACGAGCAATGGACATAAGACCGGAGGACATCTGTCCTTTGGTCTGATGAGTCCAAATTTGAGATTTTTGGTTCCAATCCGCGTGTCTTTGTGAGACACACAGTAGGTGAACGGATGATCTACGCATGTGTGGTTCCCACCGTGAAGCATGGAGGAGGAGGTGTGATGGTGTTGGGGTGCTTTGCTGGTGACACTGTCTGTGATTTATTTAGAATTAAAAGGCACACTTAACCAGCATGGCTACCACAGCATTCTGCAGCGATACGCCATCTCATCTGGTTTGCGCTTAGTGGGACTATCATTTGTTTTTCAACAGGACAATGACCCAAAACACACCTCCAGGCTGTGTAAGGGCTATTTGATCGAGGAGAGTGATGGAGTCCTGCATCAGATGACCTGGTCTCCACAGTCACCCGACCTCAACCCAATTGAGATGGTTTGGGATGAGTTGGACCGCAGAGTGAAGGAAAAGCAGCCAACAAGTGCTCAGCATATGTGGGAACTCCTTCAAGACTGTTGGAAAAGCATTCCTCATGAAGCTGGTTGAGAGAATGCCAAGAGTGTGCAAAGCTGTCATCAAGGCAAAGGGTGAATACTTTGAATAATCTAAAATCTAAAATATAGTTTGATTTGTTTAACACATTTTTGGTTACTACATGATTCCATATGTGTTATTTCATAGTTTTGATGTCTTCACTATTATTCTACAATGTAGAAAATAGTAAAAATAAAGAAAAATCCTGGATTGAGTAGGTGTGTCCAAACTTTTGACTGGTACTGTATATATTTTTGTCATTTAGCAGATGCTCTTATCCAAAATGACTTGCAGGAGCAATTACGGTTAAGTGCCTTGCTCAAGGGCACAGACAGATTTTTCACCTAGTCAGATTGTGGATTCAAACCAGCAAACTTTTGGTTACTGGCCCAACGCTCTTAACCACTAGGCTACCTGCCGTTGCTCTATGCCCTCTCTGGCAAATAATGCAACTTCGTGGAAAGTTAGTTCCACTCCGCTAACGTGTCATGGAACACACCTTCCACATCATACATTCTTTTCCATAGAACGCTCCTCGTTGATTATCCCTTACGTATAACCCATTTATAATGGCTTATTCATTAGTTTTTATATGAACCAAGTTTTTATAAAGAGTAAAACCATACAATGTCTCACCTGAACACAGCTCTGTGGCTCTGCTCCTTCTCTACTCCATCTAACGCACAGGAGAACAGGCCAAAGGACTCCGCACCTGGAGGACACGAGGCAGTAGGGGAGCTTTAGGTCATTGTGATAAAAATGAGATAAAGTGTCAAAACAAGAGTACTATACAGGAGTAACTCTGCTGACTTTGGTGTCTTTAAATCATGTTAAATAGGGCGTTCTAACTTTTGTAATTCCTTTGAAGTAAGAAAGTAAGTTCAGCTCTTTGTCTTCAGAAATATAAACATGGTTTCAATGAAATTTGCAATACAATTGAGTAATAGCATAATCCTGAGCAAGGTCTGCCTCGAAAAAAAAGGGTAATTCGTCCAAAGAGACTTCATGGTGTAATCAAGGTATAAAATATACATTTAAAAAAGGATGGCAGCAGCCGGTAACAAAAAACTCACCAGAGGAGTGTAAATGTCTGTTCACAAACACATTGCGGAACTTGCGTGTTCGAGGTCCCCCGCTAACCCCTGCCTCTGACGACGAAGAAGCCCTCGACAGACGTGATGACTCTTTCCTTTCTCTCTTCAGCTCGCTGCGATCCACCTCATATTCCTCCTCCTCGTTGGCTGACTCATACACCGTCTCTGTGTCGCTTTCATCACTGTAGCTCCGGTAGCACTGCTTCAAGCTCACCAGATCTAACTTGGCGTGCTCGTCCACCACTAGGGTGTATTTAACAGAGTCATAGGAGAGGCCTGCGTGTGCAGTCCGCAGGGCCCCCAACCCCCCCAACCCCACCGACTCACCCTTAGAGCTAGACTTAGAGCCCTTGTGCCATAACCCCCTGTCCTGGTCCCCTCCCTCACTGTCAGATGGCCTAAAGCATGAGGAGATGGAGAATGAACGTGGAGGAGGTGCAGGGGGGTGCAGGTAGACCTCGTCCTCCTCGCTGATGGAGGGGTTTGTTCGGTCAGGTAGGGCGGTGTTTGGGTACGCTGGGGGTCCCTCCGCGTCGGAGCTGATTGACATGCGATTGCCCTCGCTGCTCTGAGACAGGAACGGACGGTCAGAGTCTGGACGGTCAGTGTCTGGGTTTTTCTGGTGTACCGGGGTCAGGTAGATCTCCTCCGTGGCTTCTGGCTGGCACTCCTCCTCACGGCAGCACCCCCGCCCTTGCCCCTGTCCTCCTCGCCCCCTGCTCCCATCCCTATCCCTGTCCCCATCCACAGCTTTGTCTCTCATACTGCCTGCTTTCGGCTTTGCTGCTGTAGTCTGGTTGTGTGGAGCAGCGGAGGACTTCTTATCCCGCTGCTTTGCGTCACGCTGCCTGCCCCGTGATACTGTAGCTCCGTGTGAGATGAACGTGGAGTAGTCCTTGCTGTATGCCTTGACTGCCTTCTCTGGTCCTGTCCCTCTTTGTTGGGGTTGTTTGGCCACAGAGGCATCGCTGTGCTGCTGGACTTTACACTCATCGTTCACCTGCTTATTAGTGGGTGTCAGATCGCCTTTAACACAGACAAACAAACAAAACAACAACACAAGCAAAAACAAAAGATTATTCATTAGGCTACAAACTGCAGAGTGAAGGATTATAAGGGATATAGCTACAGTAACAGTAGCCATTGTTGAGTTTCCTGGCCAACATGTTCTTATCGTATGTATCATACTGAAGTATGAGAACACCGAAGACGTTGGGCTTTTAATGTTTTCTATTTCTTGAACATTTTAAGGATTATGACTGAGTGTTCATGTAACGGTCTAGGCCCAATCACCTTATGAAGGGATTAGCGGATTGGAGTTGAATAAAATACTGTACTGTAGCATTGACATTGGTAGCAATATGTGCAATTACTTTGTGCCCATTGACACAAATTAAATAAAAATGTCTAGAAACAATCCACTGAAAGGTATAATTTCCTAAATGCTTCCACTTCTGCGAACATAAACTTTGCTACTTTGTTTAAAGTTAATGTTGGTATTACTCACAAGAAAGTACTGTATACATGTACAGTTGAAGTCGGAAGTTTACATACACTTAGGTTGGAGTCATTAAAACTTGTTTTTCAACCAATCCACACATTTCTTCTTAACAAACTATAGTTTTGGCAAGTCGGTTAGGACATCTACAGTGAGGGAAAAAAGTATTTGATCCCCTGCTGATTTTGTACATTTGCCCACTGACAAAGAAATGATCAGTCTATAATTTTAATGGTAGGTTTATTTGAACAGTGAGAGACAGAATAACAACAACAAAATCCAGAAAAACGCATGTCAAAAATGTTATAAATTGATTTGCATTTTAATGAGGGAAATAAGTATTTGACCCCCTCTCAATCAGAAAGATTTCTGGCTCCCAGGTGTCTTTTATACAGGTAACGAGCTGAGATTAGGAGCACACTCTTAAAGGGAGTGCTCCTAATCTCAGCTTGTTACCTGTATAAAAGACACCTGTCCACAGAAGCAATCAATCAATCAGATTCCAAACTCTCCACCGTGGCCAAAACCAAAGAGCTCTCCAAGGATGTCAGGGACAAGATTGTCGACCTACACAAGGCTGGAATGGGCTACAAGACCATCGCCAAGCAGCTTGGTGAGAAGGTGACAACAGTTGGTGCGATTATTCGCAAATGGAAGAAACAAAAAATAACTGTCAATCTCCCTCGGCCTGGGCCTCCATGCAAGATCTCACCTTGTGGAGTTGCAATGATCATGAGAACGGTGAGGAATCAGCCCAGAACTACATGGGAGGATCTTGTCAATGATCTCAAAGCAGCTGGGACCATAGTCACCAAGAAAACAATTGGTAACACACTACGCCGTGAAGGACTGAAATCCTGCAGCGCCCGCAAGGTCCCCCTGCTCAAGAAAGCACATATACATGCCCGTCTGAAGTTTGCCAATGAACATCTGAATGATTCAGAGGAGAACTGGGTGAAAGTGTTGTGGTCAGATGAGACCAAAATCGAGCACTTTGGCATCAACTCAACTCGCCGTGTTTGGAGGAGGAGGAATGCTGCCTATGACCCCAAGAACACCATCCCCACCGTCAAACATGGAGGTGGAAACATTATGCTTTGGGGGTGTTTTTCTGCTAAGGGGACAGGACAACTTCACCGCATCAAAGGGACGATGGATGGGGCCACCCAATCTTGGGTGAGAACCCCCTTCCCTCAGCCAGGGCATTGAAAATGGGTCGTGGATGGGTATTCCAGCATGACAATGACCCAAAACACACGGCCAAGGCAACAAAGGAGTGGCTCAAGAAGAAGCACATTAAGGTCCTGGAGTGGCCTAGCCAGTCTCCAGACCTTAATCTCATAGAAAATCTGTGGAGGGAGCTGAAGGTTTGAGTTGCCAAACGTCAGCCTTGAAACCTTAATGACTTGGAGAAGATCTGCAAAGAGGAGTGGGACAAAATCCCTCCTGAGATGTGTGCAAACCTGGTGGCCAGCTACAAGAAACGTCTGACCTCTGTGATTGCCAACAAGGGTTTTGCCACCAAGTACTAAGTCATGTTTTGCAGAGGGGTCAAATACTTATTTCCCTCATTAAAATGCTAATCAATTTATAACATTTTTGACATGCGTTTTTCTGGATTTTGTTGTTGTTATTCTGTCTCTCACTATTCAAATAAACCTACCATTAAAATTATAGACTGATCATTTCTTTGTCAGTGGGAAAACGTACAAAATAATCAGGGAATCAAATGCTTTTTTCCCTCACTGTACTTTGTGCATGACACGTAATTTTTCCAACAATTGTTTACAGACAGATTATTTCACTTATAATTCACTGTATCACAATTCCAGTGGGTCAGAAGTTTACATACGCTAAGTTGACTGTGCCTTTAAACAGCTTGGAAAATTCCAGAAAATGATGTCATGGCTTTAGAAGCTTCTGATAGGCTAATTGACATAATTTGAGTCAATTGGAGGTGTACCTGTGGATGTATTTCAAGGCCTACCTTCAAACTCAGTGCCTCTTTGCTTGACATCATGGGAAAATCAAAAGAAATCAGCCAAGACCTCAGAAAAAAAATGGTAGACCTCCACAAGTCTGGTTCATCCTTGGGAGCAATTTCCAAACGCCTGAAGGTACCACGTTCATCTGTACAAACAATAGTATGCAAGTATAAACACCATGGGACCACGCAGCCGTCATACCGCTCAGGAAGGAGACGCGTTCTGTCTCCTAGAGATGAACGTACTTTGGTGAGAAAAGTGGAAATCAATCCCAGAACAACCGGAAAGGACCTTGTGAAGATGCTGGAGGAAACAGGTACACAGGTATCTATATCCACAGTAAAACGAGTCCTATATCGACATAACCTGAAAGGCCGCTCAGCAAGGAAGAAGCCACTGCTCCAAAACCGCCATAAAAAAGACAGACTATGGTTTGCAACTGCACATGGGGACAAAGATCGTACTTTTTGGAGAAATGTCCTCTGGTCTGATGAAACCAAAATAGAACTGTTTGGCCATTATGACCAACGTTATGTTTGGAGGAAAAAGGGGGCACTTGCAAGCCGAAGAACACTATCCCAACCGTGAAGCACGGGGGTGGCAGCATCTTGGTGTGGGGGTGCTTTGCTGCAGGACAGACTGGTGCACTTCACAAAATAGATGGCATCATGAGGAAGGAAGATTATGTGGATATATTGAAGCAAGATATCAGTCAAGAAGTTAAAGCTTGGTCGCAAATGGGTCTTCCAAATGGACAATGACCCCAAGCATACTTCCAAAGTTGTGGCAAAATGGCTTAAGGACAGTATTGGAGTGGCCATCACAAAGCCCTGACCTCAACTCTATAGAAAATGTGTGGGCAGAACTGAAAAAGTGTGTGCGAGCAAGGAGGACTACACATCTGACTCAGTTACACCAGCTCTGTCAGGAGGAATGGGCCAAAATTCACCCAACTTATTTTGGGAAGCTTGTGGACAGCTACCCGAAACGTTTGACCCAAGTTAAACAAGTTAAAGGCAATGCTACCAAATACTAATTGAGTGTATGTAAACTTCTGACCCACTGGGAATGTGATGAAAGATATAAAAGCTGAAATAAATAATTCTCTCTACTATTATTCTGACATTTCACATTCTTAAAATAAAGTGGTGATCCTAACTGACCTAAGACAGGGCATTTTTACTAGGATTAAATGTCAGGAATTGTGAAAAAACTGAGTTTAAATATATTTGGCTAAGGTGTATGTAAACTTCCGACTTCAACTGTATATGGTTTAAACAAGTCAATATCCCATTCTCACCTGTTATGTGGGGGGAGGAGGAGTTTGAGTTTGACAGATTCTCCTTCCATGTGTCCTTCTTTCCAAATGAGTTGTTGTTAATTGTATCCTTGTCCTACAATGATATTACAGACAGAGAGAGAGGGAAAGATGGAATGATAGAGAGACAGAAAGAGAGAGGAGAGAAAGATAGTTGGATTGAACTTTTATTTGATAAACATTACACACACTCACACACACACACACACACAGGAGTGGCTGTTAAAAAGCATGAGTGGTTGTTCTGCCTAAGGAGACGGCTGTTCTCTATTCTCTGTTATTACTACACAGCCCAGCCCAGTCAGTCCACAGCTCTTTTCTAGCCAAACAGTTCTATGATCAATGACTTGTCTTAGCTGTCAATCACATCTACCCAGTCCTAGCCTCTGTTCCAGGCTTCCTGCAGCCGAGTGATGAACAAGGCTTTGGAGTACGGTAACACGAGACCACAGCCATCTAAATATATGGCTCCGGCTTGGGGCGAGACTCACCAAGCCCTGATGACATCATCTCACACACCATCACAATCTGATCCGGCTGCGTGGAAGAGGAATCAGGAGATGAAGACTGTTACACTACACAGCAGCACACCGTCATAGAGACCATTCACAGTGACGATGCTGACTCACAGTCGTGATGCAGCTTCTGCCGGGCACTGGGACTGGCTCTGTTACCATGGTTACCGTGGCCCAGAAGTGGAGGAGAAACTGTGTGTAGGTGTGTGTATGTTTCTTTGGTGTGTCGGGTTTGTGTTGATAGAACGGTTTGATGTTGAAATGCTCCAAGTTCTATTCATGAAATGAAAAAAATACATTTTGGAATTCATGGAACTGACTGATTATCAAGACCGTGTTATCCTTTTGGTAGCTGTTATCCCTTTGGTAGAAGTCTTCAGGTCTCAGGCAAGGTAAATCATTACGTAGCTTTACAAACTTTGGTACACTACACCCTCCCCCCTTGGCCTCATGTCCTCAGTAACCAACCCCAGCAACCGATAACCATCCACTGTGTAATCTGACACCACCATAACCAAGTTAGCCCACTGAGCTACAGTCATATTGCTCTGAGAGATTCAGGTCCCCTCAGGTCTCAGGCAACATGGCACCGGTGTAGTTTAGAGTAGTATCATCATGTCTAATAGCCCTATTGTCAGATCAGTGAAGTGGCTATGGCTTATCAAATGTTCAGCCCAAATAAACAACTGTGATGACTGTAATGATAATTGAACGGTCTTGTGCTGTATAAGCTGCATTGGCCACATACGTACGTACGTGTGTGTGTGGCCAATGCAGCTTACGTATGTACTCAAACACACACGCATGCACGCAAACGCACACACACACGGCTCAACAACAGCGTGATGTAACCAGTTGGGACACGTAGTGACGGCAACAGCCATGGTGACATATGGTTGGCAGATGTTGTTCACAATCAAAACAAATCAGGTTTTTAGTCTAAACAAAGGGGCTAAAGTTTCTAAGTAATCGTTCACCTTGATCACATTATAAACCTGAGAGGGTGTAGTATACTGTAGAGCAGGGCTCTACAACCCTGTTCCTGGAGAGCTAGCCTCCTGTTGGTTTTCACTCCACCCCAGTTGTTACTAACCTGATTCAGCTTATCAACCAGCTAATTATTACTAGAATCAGGGGTGCTAGACTAGGGTTGGAGCGAAAACTTACAGAAACAGGGTTGGAGAGCCCTGCTATAGTCACTTGATCTGGAGGGGGATGTAATCTCAAGGACTGTGAAAATAGGCAGTGAACACCACCATTCAGATAGCCTGGTCCCAGATCGGATTGTGCTGCCTTGCTACAGCACAAACAGATCTGGGACCAGGCTATCTGAATCAAGCTTTCACTACCTGTTTCCCTAGTCCTTGAGATCAGCTCCTTCGGGATCAAGTGTCTCTGTCATTGTACCAGGCTACCACTCAGACAGAGTAGGAGTGAGACATAAAACATGGTTAGCCTAATCCTCCCCAACACAGCGTGACATCACGAGCAGCAGCAGGGCTCTGAGGTCAGGCCGTGTCGTGGTGCCATACACAGAGACGTTAGTCACGTGACCAGGTCTGACAGGGCCAGAATGAGGAATTACACCGCCTGGAGAGGAAAACATCCTGGGCCTCCCTCTATCCTCTCCAGGCCAAACCCGGGTTCAAAATAATACTTTGAAAATCTTTCAAATACTTTTAGCATTTGCTTTAGTCTGCCTAGAGTGCCAGATGGACGGGGTCTGAGTCTGAAGTGGATGTGATGTTAGGTTATTTGATGGGAAGGAACCCTGAGACAGGGTAAGGATGAACCAGTCGTGTAGCAGGTTGTTATCAAAACCTACATCTGCCATGCACCTTATCCTGCTTTTCCTGATCTTCTTTGAATTTAATCACTCAGAAGTCTGTCATAAAGACATTGTGATCATCATTCATGGATGTCCTCGTGAAACAGATTTTCTGAAACATTTTCTTTTTAGCATGTTAATGTTTTGGTTATAACTGATTATAACTGGTCATAACTGATTATTACTGGTTTCAAACAGTTATACCTGATTTTAATTAGTTATAACTGATTATAACTGAAAAGTGGTGGGGTTGTTTTGGGTGGGTTCATATATCATACATACAGTACATACACACTGGACATACATAACAATAATCCTACTATTGGCTTAGGTTAAAATATGAAACCATCAAACATTCAAACTTCAATCTGCACTCTACTACTAGAGACTGTACAGCACTCGGTCGTGCTGAGCATTGTGGGCAATTACTAAGATCATTCCAAGTCTCCTCCAGAGAAATGACAGCCCTCTCCTCGTCGTACACTTCTTCAATGAAGATAGGTCTGAAGCTCACTGGACTACATCAAAGCATCCAAGCAATATTAAACCCTTTTAGTCACGATAAATACTAGCCTACAAAATATAATTCTGGCAAGAGGTCTATTTTGAGGGAAAGATCAAAGATGTTTTTATAAAGATCAACATGAGATGCAATGGATGAAAGATGAGTGAACAGATCCTCACCCCTTCAGTCATTCTACACAGGATTGTCATTGTAAACTGCCCTATCCTTGGACTGACACTGACGGACTCTGACCTATCCTTTCCATTGCTATCCCTGGTCAGCAGAGCACACCCTTCCTTCCCTGTCTGATGCCATTCAGCTGATGGGGAAGCTGACCAGACTCACAGAAGGACGTGCTATTTACAGACAGCAAAGACCAAGGACAGCAGGCAAACGGAGAACATGCTACAAACAGTCGTAAACATGGGCTCTGTCGAGGGAGAAAGAGCACATTCATTATCACATGAATGAAAATGTCCTCTACTGTTACAATGCTTCGATTGAGAATCACAACAGTCCCAGCATTCAGATTTTCTGGTATACAGTTGCTACAAATGTGACATGAAAATATTTTCATTTAACGACATTAACAAAGACACACTGTAGACATATTGCTTACATTACATTAAAGGATCTCTGTATTAATATTGGTGCCTGGGTAAGGTATGCTGCCTCGATACAGACACCATTCTATACAGATTCAATTCTATCTGATCTCCCATTAATTATTTAAACCAAACAGATGATCTGTAATCACAGAGGAGAAAATAAGCAGGATCTGTACTGTAAATTGGTGCTGGGTGTAAGCGACCAGCTTCTATACAGCTTTTACACAGATCCCTTCCTATCGAATCGTATATTTCAAACAAACATAATGATCTATGATACAGTATGTGATCTGCCTGTCATCACAGGGGAGATTAAGCAGCAGCCCCTCTAACGCCTCTATTCAGATTCCATTCTATTCTGTATCTAATCCAACATTATATGAACCAAACAGATGATCTGAGGATGTCGTGTCACCACAGAGGGTAGAAATAAACAGTCCCCACCTGAGTCCTGGGAGGATGAGGAGGCTGAGGCTGCACCTGTGGAAATAGCGCTAGGGTGGTGGGTCTCTTGGGCCTGTACGTATCCATAGTGACCGGATGTTCCGCAGATTCTAATTCTATCACATTGGGCTGTTTCTGTCTTACAGGAGTTAGAACGACGGCCCCTCTCTCTTCCTGGTTGAGCCTGTGGTCGTCGTGGGAACCATGGATCAGGCCCCAGTGCTCCTCTTCCTCCTGGATCTCCTCCTCAGCATCGATCAGGTCCAAGTGGAGCATCTCCGCCTGCACTTCCCTGAACCCCCGCCCGTCTGCTTTCCCCGCTTGGCTACTGGCTGGCCACGTCACATGGTCCTGGGAAGAGCCAGGCAGCAGCGTTGCAGCAGAGAGAGCGAAAGAGAGAGATAATAATTCAGTGAGGTGGAGGGGGGGGGGGGGGGGGGGGGGGGGAGAGAGAGAGAGAGAGAGAGAGAGAGAGAGAGAGAGAGTGAGAGAGAGAGAGAGAGAGAGAGAGAGAGAAAGAAGGATTCAGTGAGGAGGAGAGCAGAGGGAGGGAGGCAGAGAAAGCGAGAACAAGAGCGAGTGGAGAGAGAAAAGGATTCAGTGAGGAGAAAAGGAATGGAGGGGGAGAGGAAGAGAGCAGAGACGGAGCCAGTCAATCACGGCCTGGCAATGACATCAGCAGCCTGAGCCTGTGGCTCTTTCTCTGCTCATGCTCACTGTAATGCCATTCTAATACAATCATACTGTAGTAGGATAAACCTCCCTGAAAACAAACACAGGCAAAGCCAGGCTACTGTTCTGTGAAGTATACAACAGCAATGTGTAACACCCTTACCGTCTTTACACGTCAAATCTAAAGATAATGTTAATACTGAATCATTTCTTTAACCACAAAATATTAAGACCTACACAGACCTACTGTACATAAATGGCATCTTACAAATACTACAACCTTCCCCTAAGCTAATGTATGGTGTGACTGATACTAAAATTACAGTTCACCCTACTAGCTAGTGTAGTAGAATATCTGCAGGGCTAAAGGCTGAGGCCAGTGACATGATGGCCAGGCTTTAATGATGTGTGGCATGTTAGGTCTACTTGGCTCTGGACCACATGTGTACCAGGACAATCCCCGCCTGCAGTCATTAATCTGATTAGTGACTTTGGACTACTAACTCTGGATTCTACTTCTGCTTTTGCTGTGGCTACTATCTCATAGTCACAGCCCCAAAATAACAGCAAGCATACAATGGAAGCAACATTTATCTCAATATCTCAACATTCTACTATTAATATTAATATTATGAAAACTAGACTGCAGCATAGTGAAGTCAGTATTGTGGGAGAAGGGAGGAGTTAGTTGAGGGAAACTAGTGTAGAGGAGCTTACTTGGTCATCCAGGTTGTTGTAGTTGAGGCTGGCACCACACTGTGTGTACCAGACCTGGGTTCATATACTATTCGAAATAATTTCAACTACTTGATTTGTGCTTGATTGAGCTTGCCTGGCTTAATGGACCAATAGAAAAGTCGCAAAACTGCAATCCGAGCCCATTTGACACTTTCAAACTGTATTTGAACCCAGGTCTGGTGTGAGTACATGTATATTAGTTTACCTGAGAGTCAAGGTCGTCGTAGTTAAGGCTGGCTCCAGCCTCATCAGTGATCTCTGTGACCTGAGAAAGGTCCTCGTCCTCAAACTCCTCCAGGCTGATGTCATGGATCAGCCTGAAGACACACAACACACATTGCGTCACACCACACTACAGAAAACAAACCATGTCATCACTCAACATCAATGAGAGCTGAGGACACTGTTTTACATACATCAATGAGAGAGTAAACACAGGCGTGTTGCTCTCTGCAGACAAACGACTTAGTCACACTTTCACCTTAGTGAGGTACTGCTTGATACTCCGGATGGCAGGTGGCAGGTGTACAACCATCTGTGCTGATATTATAAAGCTCTAAACCCTATAATAAAAGGCTTGCATTGGGGTTTGCATGAAGGCCCGAGAGAGACAGGAAAAAGTGTGGTCTCTATGTCTTACATTAGCATACTGTACGTCACTGCCAAGAAGTCTAGACCTTTATGGCAAATTAAAGCTTGTCCGGTAAACAAAAGGCCACTGGTTTATGTGCTGTTTCTTTGATAATCTCTCACAGATTTCACGCCGTAACACATAATCTAAATAAGGCATCTAAATAAGGCTGTATCACATTCTGGCTTCTGCTGGTACCCTGTTAGTATCAATTTCAGAGGGATCTTCTATAAGAATATGCACACTGCCCAGCGTATGTTTACCCCAGGTAAAGGCCTATAACCCAGCCTGGGTCATATTCATTAGGCACCAAACAGAAGAAAACGGACTGAAACAGGGATTGAACCAACTGAAGTAGTCCAATAATAAAACACTTGTTTTAGTTATCCATTGAAAAACATTTTGTTAATTTTTGCCCTAATGAATACGACCCTGGTTTAACTCTAAAGTATATAAATACTACTGTACCATTTCTCCCACTGGTCCTCCATCCACTTCTCTCCATTCTCTCCATCCTCCTCCTCCCTCCAATTCTCCCCCTCCTCGTTGGACTCCATTTGCAGACTGAAGTAGAGCAACATCGGCTGGGCAGGGCAGGCAGAGGGACCAGGAACTGATCGATTCAACAGGCAATTACAGCACTTCCCCCTTTCAACAGAGCATCATTCACAATCCTGACTCTTCACTCTCCATGCGCTCTGGCCCAGACATCAGCAACAACACCTCCACCACACCACTGATAGAGAGGGACCCTGAAGATCAAGCCTGCTTCTTTTCCTTTTCCCCACACACAGCATAGAGCTCTCGTCTCCTCTCTGTGTATTTGTGTTTCCCCTCTGGTCCAAAATAATGACTGGAGGAGAATGGGAGGATGGGGGTGGTGCAGGCTGTTGGTGGACAGTAAAGAGACTGGAGATTGGGGGACTCAATCACCCGCTTAAGCCCCAGCCCATCAGCCCTGGCTGGGTAGGTTCTTCTCCTGTAAGGCCCTGCCTCCTGTATGATGGACGGCTTGAATTGATGCAGCTCTACTCAGGTTGCCTGGCTCCTCCGCAGGCCAGGCAGCCATATACAGGGAGGGCTGAGGGAAGGGAAGTGGTGACTGCTAGGGTCAATGAAGCTGCTGCTGCTGAAAGAGAGACTTCTTCCCTTTTATCCCTGATCTGAGGAGGGAGGATTTGGAAGGTCCCTGGCCCTGCTTACAACATCATGGCTTCCATTGTGTTGTTGTGTAGGTTGGTTCTCATGCCATGGAATGACCCACACCCTCTTCTCCACGCTCTGAACAAACTGTGACGTGATGTGTGAGCCGGTGCAGCAGAGTAAATTAACAGCTTACGTATGTCCGGGGTATAATTTTTAAAATGGCGGGGGGAGGGCAAGTGGGCTAAGCAGTCATTACAGTATTAACTCTAATGTGATTTGCTGTCCCTGTGGACATGTCCACACATTACACACTACAATACTGTTTAAGACATGACATGTGCACCCATTTTACACACTACAACACTGGCCACTAATACGTCTACCACACCAGGGGTGTGTAAATTACAGTTTCTTTATAATTGTATACACCAAAACTCACAAGAAAGGACAAAATCACAGTAAAAAGTTTGAAGTCTAACACTGTCTTTTCTAATATGTAAACAACCTGGGCCTGTGTACATTCATAGTCACAATATCCTATTCTTGGTATCCAAATCCTGTCCTTACTTTATCAAGTTACAGACCAGAATAACTATACTGTACATGAAAGCTAAAATGTCAGGTTCACTGGGCCATGTCTGTACCAGATATCCCAACGGTGCTTAAAGACAGCTAGCTTGTTTGTCCCTCCTCACCCTTTTCATCTTCTATCAGAGTTGATATCAGGGAGCGAGGAGATAGAGTGTGACATGGAGATACAGACACAGAGAGGGAGGAGCGGGAGAGAAAGACAGAGAGAGAAAGAGTGGGACAGAGAGGGAGAGAAAGACCACAGAGGAAGAGAGGAGGGAAGAGACAGACAAACAGAGAGAGAGAGAAATAGATGAGAGAGGGAGAGAGAGAGAGGACTCAGGCCATTAGTAGTGATCCCTGAGGAGATCACATAAGTGTTACTGCTGGTCAACAAAGCACTGTTAAACCTCATCCTTTTCACCCTCCTCCCAAACTACAACTGACCTGTACAGTATTACATAACAAGCATCTATTGCTATTACTGACCTGAGACTACCCCTTCAATAAACCAAAGTTTGGTCATAAAGTGTTGATTGATTGTTGATTAATTGATAAGTCTATTAATGATTCGTAACTATTGATGAGCCACAACTATTTTCACAAGAAAATAAGGGTTGTTCGAGTGAAGTACAGATGACCCGTGGTCCTAGTTCAGTTCCAGATCTTATCTAGACTTCATACAGTCTTGTCTACCAGTCTTGTTTACCTCCTGCACTTTAAGCATATTCTGTGCTAAGAACCTACTGCATGTGGCCCTCCAGTGGCGAAATGTAGTACTGAAAAGGTGGAAGTGTAACTACCTACTACCAAATACACAATGCTATGAATTAACTATATTTATTACCATCGACAGTGAATTCCAGCATGCGGTACGGAGGTTCATATACAGATACAATCACAAAGACTGATTGGGTCACTATTCTATCAGCGTTTTAATGAAAATAAAACAAATAAATACAACTATTTCACAAAGCTCAGCATGGAAAAAATTATTATAGTGAATTTACACTTTCTGCGTGGAATGTACAATATTTGGTGACTGACAAATGATGACAAGCTTTAGATGGGCGGTGTTTTGACGGGAAATATAAATGAAGTTTACCTCTGTTAGTATTTCCTAAAGGCTTATTTATAGTCAATGTAAGTATGCAATGTAAGAATGCAAAATGGCTGTCCTGAGTACTTACGTAGACTATAAATTAGGCCAAACTCATCCCCTTCTGGGCAGATCCACATACAGGGCAGTGCAAACAAAGACAAAGGGTTTTATGGTAATATATACTGTATAATATATACACAAGGTTGATAGATGTGCAAATATAAACAGAATATAGCGGGAATTAATATAAATATTTTTATTTAGCGAAACTAGTCATTATTGTATTAGTATAGACAGTATTATCATTGACAGATTTAGCATCCGTCAAAAATGTATTGAGGCAATGTATTTTTCTATGGGAGTCATAGGTTGATGGACTACAGAAATGATATAAATGTCTACGCACAGCTTTATCTGTCTTTTTTGTTGTTAGCAACTCATATGTGAAAAGTTGAAATGAGTTGAATGGACAGTGACAAGTGCATATTCATTTTTCATACGTTTCATCCATCTCTGTGTGGCCACAGACTCACTTCTCACTACCCATGGTGGGTGGAAGCAGCTAGGTGCTGTTCTGTTTTACAGTAAGCACAATGACAGACCCTGCTACTTCATAACTTACATGAAGGGCACTAAGTCATATGAAAACATTGATTCTCGGTTATTTCACTGATTGATATTATATCTTCTCTGCCACAGGCAAAATATTAGTTTCTAAACCAATCATATCATTGTGATCAAAGTCAAAATAACATACAGAGGACAAACAGATACATGACAGTGGAACCTCAGAGATACGAACACATCAAGAATGGAGGTCGTTCGGAACACTAAAATATCCACAACTTTGACATACACCTTTATAGAAAATATGAATTGCGTCTTTTAAATTCATGTGTTTTGTTTTAATGTGTTTTTGGGGGGGGATTAAAAAAATTATAATCCAGGTTAATATTGCCTACTCGGTTGACCGGTCAGTTCGTAAAAACCTAAGGTTTGTATCTTTGAGGTTCTACTGTAGTCGTAAGGCAGTTATACACTCACTAATACAAGTAGGTGGTGGTACAAAAAACTATAACAAAAGCCAGTTTAGGAAAGCTGAAAGGAAAGGTTTAAGCACTAACCTGCTATACAATACACTGTTTGTAACCTTTCTCTATGCAAACTATTATTGGCAATTATGGTGGTGTTCTTGCTGCTGATCTGGATTTGCTGTTATTCTTATACTTTATAAACCAGTTAATGTATGTAAAACTCTGTATGTTTGTGTGTGTGTGACTAGTCTTGCCCCGAAGGAAAGGGGTGAGCGCAGGACATCAGAAGTCTTCTACCATGGCTCTCTAGCATACATCATCCCACATGGCAAGCTCCTAAAAACACAGAAACCAAATTGCACAGTTGGTTAGATTTCCACAAATAGCCTACAGCAGGGTTCCCCAACTGGCGGCCCACAGGCCAAATTTGGCCCGCGGGTGGTTTTATTTGGCCCCTCATGTTTTCTGAGCAAAGGAAAAGAAAACAATAAAAATATAAAAACACCAGGGAATCAGCTCCAATTGATTTTTATTTAAGATATCTGTTCCCAAGTATTCCCACGCAAAATAGAGAGACGTGATCGTATACAAATTTAAGCAAGGTTTGAAATGATTATGTTTTAGTCAAACATTACATCTGTTTGGGCAGTCTACAAATGATTTGTAATTATGTTCCCGGCGCCCCGACCATCCACTCAAGAAAAAAAATTGGCACCTGGCTGAATCTAGTTGATGATCCCTGTCCTACATTTATTTTACTTTATTTGATGACTTCTGAAGAGGTTCCAGTAAAATGAATCACATTTCAGAATACAGAACAACCCAGTGGCTTATTACCGTGTGCCACTGCAGATCCACTGGCTGTTCTACAGCCTGCTTCTCTGACTGTTCCTCCCACTGCTCTTGTTGCTGTTCCTGTAGTTGATCATGGTCTCCTTGGGCAGCGATGGTGTGCTGGTGTTTCGAGTGGGTGCACTTCTGGGTGCTCTGTGGTTCAGAGGGCCTGCCTCTCTTCAGAGTGTTGCACTGGGCAGACAACGTGTGTGGGGGTGACTCTGCATTCAATAGAGTTTAGATTGGTCATGTGTTTTCCTGTACATGTATCCTTCACTTTCTGTTAGACAACATTTATTTGTTTAGCTGATACATTGAAACTTTGAGGAAAGAAAATGATTAAATTCCATATAATAGATTGTTTTTTATGTTAATCTAAAGCAAAATGCTGCTTTTTTATTTTTTTACCAGGACTTTCCTGGTTAATTAAAGGACAAAACTACACCTCCCAACAAACCACAGGTGCTGCTGCTGACCTAAAATGTGTCTGTCGGGGGAGGCTCTCCCTCTTCCTGGATGGTGGGTACAGAGGCCAGGAGACCTGACGGACACACACACACACACGTTACATCAATGTTACCAACCACTGACTGGAAATAGCTTCCATAATGACTGATGGGCAGAATGAAAACATAACACGGTAAAACTGTTAATGCAGGACAGCCAATAAATAAATACAAAACATTTAACCACTAGGTGGCTCTCTCTAGGGCCACAGAATAAGCCAGGAGAAGTGCTTGCAAAAAGAGTCAAATTACTAGAGGATTGTGGTGGAGTTGGAGGCCGTTATAAGACGAATCACCCCCGCGATATGAAACTTTTCAGGGAAGTCAGGAACCAATATACACAATCAGTTAGGAAAGCAAAGGCTAACTTTTTCAAACAGAAATGTGCATCC